TCATTTCCGTTCTATTTTGGTGATGTTGTCCATGCTGAGATGGAAACAGACACTGCGGTACTTGGAGAGTGGATTTGGATCCTTTGGTCCTTTGGCCCCGGGAGGAATTGATTTCTCTTCGGTTGAGTTGGGTACTGGTGAATGAAGTGTTGAGTGTTGCGTTGGATTAACTAATGGGTTCTTTGGTGTTGTTGTGGGGGATGTTCGACTGAATCGTAACTACGCCTTATGCCTTCTCTCTCCCTCTCTTCTTTCGCTTATACTCACTCGTAAGATTGAGGGATGAGAGTGATCGGCGTGTGAGGGACTGACTAATCCAATCCTTGTCCACTTTTCATTCCCCCCTCTCATCTCCCCCCCTTCAGCCACTTCTCAGCCGCCTCGCTGGCGGTGTTTCGGATTGGGAGCGTGGGTTACTCGGTCTGGGAGGGATCGTCTAACTGACTTCTGGGTGAGGTGAAGTGTGCCTGTATTGAGATTCTCGTACAGAAATACTATGTACTGTGTATGTAGGCAGATGACTGGCAGATCTTCGGACACTACAGTAAATCAACCATCGCCTCGCACCAGCCACATGTTGATGGATGGAGATGGTGCTATACCGAAGTCAATTAGGTTTTTCTTCTCTCTTGTCAGTGCCACTGTCATCCTCTTGGGGCGTGTTTCATCCGCGGGAGAGCCGTAGCTCCCGCACACTTCCTCCTGTCCCTCGTTCATTTCCTGTCTTGTTGGTTCTGTTGCCCTTCGGTTGCTTTGATGTTTGAGGATTTCGCCCGACGGCTGATACTGCGGGCAGTTAACTTAGTGCTGGTCGTCTGGTTCAGAAGCGAGGGCCATAACAACACAGGAGATCTGGAGATTTTCTGGAGACTTAAGGACGGACGGGATCTTGGAAGAGCACAGCTCCAGTATTGTCGTCATCAACTCTCTTGGCTCTGCGCCGGTGCATGTGCCCAGAAATGGGGTAGATTTGATAGCCCGCTATGGATTGGCTGACACGCAGCCCTGCACGAAGTCTACGTACGGTACAGAGTACTATGTAGATGGTGCGTACAGTAGTAGGGCGCACCGCCAGGGATATAGCTGCATGTGCACACAACAATGGGAAGTTAATGCACGGTGGGATCCTTTGGAAGCTCCGAGGGATGAACTGCCTCAGCCAGCCAGTCAGCCAGCCATCCCGTGCGTGCGTGCGAGTGTCTTGTGGTTTACATGGAGGACTGTGGAATATCATCGAGCATCGAAGTAGTTACTGTGTACTGTATGTACAGTAAAGTCTTGAGCCTCGAATGTCCCGGTCGGAAGTTGTCTTCTCCGTCACCATAGCCAACAAAATCCCCCACGTAATCATGATGCGCCCATATTGTTGTGCACCTAGCACCTGGTCTGGAGATTAGTTAGCCGAAGCTTGTCTGGCTGTCGTCTCCGCCGACGTGCTCCAATTGTACGCTGTGCCTGGGACTTGACACGAGGATAATCGAACCTTGGAATGCGTTGGACGGTGATTTCCTTGGGTGTGTCAACGGGACTGACCGGCTGCAAACCAACCCCCCCATCATCACCTCGCTCCACAGTCCACACCCATCCATGGGCACACACCCACGGTCGCTCGTTCGAGTCCTGGTTCGAGTCCTTCATGGATGCTTCCAGTGAGTTTACCAAGGCGTGGTTCTCCTCCTCATCTCCTCAAGGCACTGAAGATCTATCCGAGAGTCTAGATACTACTGGAGTTCTTTCCCGCCTGTTCCAGCCCCCTCGATCATCATCCCCAGCCCATAATATAATACCATCCTCATACATCATACGCGGACAGCTCACCTCTGGTCAGCTCCGATCCCTTCTAGACCAAGGTGTTCCGTCTTGTCTCGCCTGGGCTGCGACTCCACCGGCGCAGATTCTAAGACCAGCAGCTGTCCTGTGCGGTGGCGAGTGCTGCAGTAAGTGGTGCAGTGCAGCGCAAAGCAAATAACAATACCGTGGTCGTTACCTCTTTCTTTCCTGGGAAGGCCACCATCGGCCCGGGCGTTAGTCACCGTCTACTGGGACCACGGGAAGACCTTTGTGCGGTCAGCTTTCAGGCAACAACACTACACTGTTTGTTGACATTTTACTACTTTCCTCCAAGCTCTGTTCTTCCAACTGCACAACCTACTCGTACATCGATCCACCGGTCAGCCCTGAACTTCCCAAACAACGAGAGAAAGTCATCAATCCCGACCAAGCAAGCAGTCAAGTAGGCCGCGCAGTGCCTGACCAGCTCCCACCAATTGACAGCCCCGGATCTGCGTCCGTGGCCTGTTCTCAAACGCTGAATAACTTGGCTCGGGTACAAAAGTGGCCGACCCCGGCAGATCCATCGCCCTTCCACTTTCTCTCCTTACCATGCAATTTGTACTGTCCGTACGTACGTACTGTGTCCTCCGTACTTTACGTACTCCCCGCTGCCCTCCCCGCTGCCCGTCCGCCGTCTCTCGCCTAGCCTGTGTCAGACAGAGTGACGCAGGCAGGCAGAGAGAATAAATTCGCAAATGAAAATCTTCCCCAATAATACTGAAGTATTGTCGGGGTTCGGTAAGAAGGTCCAAAAGGAAAAAGGAAGGAGGAAAATTGGCACCGAGGATCGCGGCCGCCCCCATCGCCCTCTCCCACTCCCACTGCCAGGATGATGTTTCAGAACAAGGATCTATCGCACTTTGTCATGCAGCTAGTGACTGGATCTGTGCCGAATAAACATCGAGGTTTGCTTGGTGGGCTGCCGTGCTCGCTGCGACTTCAAACTTTGGGGGGTTGTCTGGCCGGACTGCGCCTCACCAGTTGTGTGATTGTTTGGATTGTCAGTATGGTGAAGTTATAGTTCAACGATCGAGCATTGCTACATTCCTTTGTTCAGATGCTGTTGCTGTTCTGTTGTTGTCGTCATTGACCTTTTCGGCCCCCCCTTTATCACCACTTGTGCCCCAGTTGCTGCCTTTCCTGCCTTTTCTTTTTTTTTTCCCCCCCTCCCTCCGTAGTAAGGTCCAATTGCGGTGGCGCCGTATCGTAAGCATCCTGCTGAGGACTCCTAGCAGATCGGAATTTGAATTCGGTCCACGTCTGGATGTAGGCCGATGGGTTCCAGACAGGTAAGGTACGAGGTATCCAAGGTGTCCACTGCACGGTACTGGGGGCGGGAGTCAGTGATTCCAGATACTTCTCTATCTTCGGCCTGAGTCTAATCTCGAGATCGCTCACTGTCAGTGTCAGTCAGTCAGTGAGTGATAATACTGATTCTATAGATGGGGATTGTTGTTTTTCATATCAAGGCGGAGATCAATCATTCCGTCCGTGGTAACCTAGCACCAACTCACGATATTAGTCTCAACTTAGCACTTAGCACTCCGTACTTCCGTGGTGTCTATGAATCGAGGAGATTGCCTTAATGCTTCGTACCAGCAAAGACGCGTATGGTCCCGACGGTTGGTGAAGCCACTAGGCCCGAATGTAGCCTGCAGGGCCCCACTCCCAAGCGGGTAAGCCGGATTTTTATTTTTATTCTTTCTGCCTCTTGTTATTTTTTTACCTATTCTTTTTTTGGTGTTGTGGTTTTTTCTTTTTTCCTTTCTCTGTTTTGCTTCTTATGGTCATCTTGCTATTCAGTATTCCCCATACTTCAAAGTACACGAGAATGTAAGTTATTGTATGCAGGCGATTCGACCAGAGACATCACCATGGAACTGTTTCTAATTGCCCTTTCGTGGTGTCAGTAGTGCTTGATTATCTACAAGTATCTAAAGTCCAGTCTATACTACGTACTATGTACATAACAACACCGATTCTAGCGTGATGACTGGCTGCTCAGGTGGAACATCGGGACTGAGCCGGATCTGGTCCCATCCTGGTTCTTACATGAGTACCACTAAGGCTCCGGTAAGACTAAGACTGAGACTAAGACTCAGACTAAGGACTAAGAACGAAGGACTAAGTCAGTGACTACGACGCCCGCCGCTTCTACTGTGCTGCTCCGCTTGCTGCTGCTGCTGCTGCTGCAGTACGGGTATCCGTACTGGACTAGTTCGTCTTCCTTACCCAGAGCAGTCAATCAAACCAACTCTCCCCATCTGTTTAGTTACTTACTCACAACTTGCTTTGCTTTCGTGCTTTTCTTGCTTTTCTCACTTTCTCTTACTCTTTCTCTCTCACTCTTTCCCTCTTGTTCTCTTGTTCTCTTTCTAGACTCTAAGTGAGCTAGTTCACCAACTAACACGATCGCTTCGTTTGTTCTCTGTTTCTTCCTTATCTGCGCTGTCTTTCCGGCTCCATACGATCGCTCTGTTCCTTGCCTAGCAAGCCATTCACTCCCACACGCCCCCCTCCCCTGCTCGGAGGTGACGATGCCGATAGCCTGCTAATCCTACCGGTGTCGCCTTGAATCCTGTACCTTCGATTCTTCCCCCCCTCCTCTCCCCTCAATTTCTGGCTTTGCGTCCTTTCGCTTGTAAGAACGCCCCCTTCAATTGCTCGCCAAGTTTCCACTGCCTCTCGTTGTCTCAATTTGACCCGGAGCCATCGTCTTATCAAATCCCTGGTAGGTATCAGTGCTCGATGTGGCCGCTGGAGTTGGTGGCTGATCGACATTAGCTACTTTTACCTTCAACCAAGCCCAAAAGGAACCTTTGGCGGGACACCGATCCGACCAGCAATTGTGGAAGCTCTAGGTCGTCCCCGATCTCGGCACGGGCCTTGCGCATAGCATTCTTCAATTTCGAGGAATCTGCCAACAATTTCTTCAGACCGACCGATCGGGTGATTGGAAGGTGTGGTGAATGCAACCTGTGATACCTTTTGGACCAGTCGACTCGAATAAGGAGGTCGCCGTCTATCCGTCTCGAAACCTTCACTCAGTCTGGTTATTCGCAGCAGCAGCAACAGCAGCCTCAAAGACGACCTCACGTACGATACTTCACCTGCATTCGAGAATCTGATTCCCAGCATCTCAACTGCTGGTGAGATCGTTGCCTGCCATGCGGGCTCACTTTGTGCTCCCGTCACTGCTCGGGGCGATCGCTTTACTCGCCTGGCCAGTGTCGGTCTCCTCATCCATCACCTACTGTTCGTCCGTGAACACGGGATCTTCCCAAGCCGCAAGTACGTCTTCGTTCATGGCAGCTTTCGGCTCGGTTCTGACCGTTTATAGATGAGAGTACGTTCCAGTCCAACGGTCTCTGCGAGGACCATTGCAGTTCCTATGCGTTCGGTATCCTGCAAGGCTACGACTGCTGGTGTTCGAACATTGCTCCGAATTCTGCAACCAACGTGAACAACTCGAAATGCAGCCAAGATTGTCCCGGATACCCGGATGATAGCTGTGGAAGCACTTCTAAAGGCCTGTATGCCTACGTCGAAGTCGTTGGTAACCAGCCTTCGGGCACCGCGACCGTCTCTTCAACATCAACCACATCAACTTCGGTCAGTAAATCTCTTGGCCGGTATCTTTGTGATCGCACTTGTGAAGGATGCGCATTACGGGGCTCGCTTGGAACCCAGTTCGATCAAGTGAAAATCGATAGGGACCTTATCGTACTCGGTCAAGCTGGCTCTTGATGAGATTGTTACGGCGCATCCTTGACGAGTCGCGATTCGAAGAGACATTCTATGTCAACAATACCACCGCACAGGCACTGACTTCTCTTAGACATCGTCGACGCAGTCGTCTTCTACGACATCAGCTGCCACTACAACTACTGGCCAGACTGTGTCGACCGAGACCAATGCCGGGGGTACGGTCAAGACGGTCACTCGTGCAGCATCACAGCCAACCGCGACGGCGTCCAGTACTGGCACGACGTCCAAGTCCACTAGCAGCTCGGGCATGAGCTCAGGAACGATTGCTGGTATTGTGGTGGGATCCATTGGAGGTGCCCTTGCAATCATTGCTCTGCTATTCGTTCTTTTCTTCGCAAAACGCAACCAGCGTGCGAGCAGCCCTGATCCAAGTGTACAGAACATCCTACTGGACGGAAGACAAAGCAAAGGCTCACAGATGAGTTTCATGAAGGGCATGTTTTCCGATAACCATAGTCATACGCTATCGGCCGGATCGTCGATCGCCGCTCACCGTTTGCCAACATTTACGGACAACCGCATGAAGACCGATACCGTTCTGTTTGCCAATGGTCGTCGTGACAGCGATGCATCGCTGCAAGACAACGAGGACTATTCTCGTCCTGTTCTACGGGTCAGTCATGTGCCTTGTTCGTGTCATGCTATGTCTCAGGCTAACGATAATCCCAGCTCACGAACCCGGACTAAATGAAGTCTTGAATACCGACCACTTCCGTCTCCTTGCGTTTGTTTCTATTGCATTTGCGCTCTCCTATGTCCATGTCAATTTTCGATTTGCGTGTTTCGGCGAAAACAGCGGTGTTATGATACCCATTTGTCACATAATCCTCTCGACATTTCACACACATTTTATTCGACTGCCTTGGGAGATGATGATGAGCTCGAGGGCGCGACAAACCCGACCCGACCCACTACACCAACCAACCACCCGGTTCCTCGCTATTTCTCCCCTTTTCCGCCGAACGAACCCCGCTTTTTCCCAGCCAGCTCACTTTTACTTGACCAGCCAGCCAACCAAGTCGGCCGACCGACCGACTGTACTGCACCCCCTCTTTCTCCTCGATCATCTACGCGTCATGTATTTTTGACCGATGACGCCATGAACCTCGATCGGAGAAAGGGGGATAGGGGGAGAGAGAGAGCCGAGAGGAGGATCACATCCCCAGCGACCAAACACAACCTCACACAAACAGGCATCCTTGTTGGGCCTGGGTCCGGAGGAAGACCTCACGGTCGCTTCAGCGTTGCAGTGCAGTGCAATGCATGCAGGCCTACCATCAATTGTCCGCTTTGATGTTGACAACCACAACCCCTTTCTCCCACCCCCTTTCTCCCACCCTCTACAACCTATCCTCACCATCTCAATGGTTGAAGTTCGTGTATATCGACACAGGACCTGTGCCACCAGCACAGGCTGCAGTACATACTCTAATAGATTAGCAGAGTCCTGTTTGCCTTTTTTTTTTTCCTTTACTCTCAAACTGTTCCATCGTTTCTTATCGTTTTCTGTCAGTGTCAAAAGCTAAGCTAAGCTGTACCTGAACCGTTGTTTTTCTTCCTGCGGCCCTCTGTGCACACCTTGAAAATTGCATTGTTCTGACGTTTGTTGATTGGCCGGTGGAAGCTGAGCTGCGCACTATGCACCATGCATCACTCCATGGACCTGTAATATCCCGCCACCATGTGATTACTTTAGCCTCGACGTATGGACCTGAGGTCGATTATTTGATATAGATCATCGTGAGATATACTGCCTGTGGTTGAAAACACCTGTTGAGCGGGTACATCCGTTCCACCAACCAACCCATCGATGAGCAAACCTTCCCCTTGATCATTGAGTAATTTCGAATTGAAACCATGACGACAGTTTATGATACTGTGTGCGGTTCCTGGAGTCCCTTCCAGCGGACCATTGCCACTGCACTGCACTCACTGGCCGGCTCTTTTCTCCATCGTCCCAGGCACGCGAGAATTTCCAAATGTCCACCTTTCCACCGCCCCCGCCCACTCCCCACTATAGACCAAAGTTTTTGAGATTGGTACGTGTACGGGGCCATCCTTCCAACTCAATCCTCGAGTACAAATGCATACTCATACAGGACATCAGAATCCCCCCCCCGGCACGAGACCGAGCTGGGAGAAAAGAAGCGGGTACCTGCATGGCATCTCGCTTTCTCCCTCGCCACCCACCCACCCCGATCGTTTCCTCACGATCGTTGTCAGTCAGGTTGTAGAAATGATGTCATGGGTGATGTGGATTGTGGATTGTGGATCGCTTTCCGGTGTTGTGTTGTGCGGATGGTTCATTAAGCATACGCATAGAGTTTGCTTCAGACGGTTGACCCAGGGTTTTGGG